CATACACAGATACAAATCACAAACATGGAATTTCCCAAAGATACAGAAAAAAAAAAAAAAAGATTTACACTGCAGGAGAATTGTGTACATGTGTGGTTCCATAAACTTTGAGCTCATAATATGTACAAAGCTCTACATTAGATAGTCCCTGCAATTTGCTGCATGAAAATATTTGCCAAGTATATGCACACAGATGTTTTCAACAGCATAATTCTCTATCTCCTAGACATCTTTTTGTTCTAGTAATATATACATTATTTATTGTTTCATTTTAATTATTATTTGAAAAAAACCTACCGATGGAAACTATCCACCATTTTTAAGTGGACACGGAGATCTTTTTTTGTTAGGTGATCTAACATTCTTGCATCTACCAAGCATTCCATAAAATAACTTCTGTATTGAGGTAACCCCAGGCTGGGAAGCCATTCATTTCCAATCCACTCGTGGTTCATATCTCCATAAGCCAGAGTCTGTAGAAAAACCGGACACTAGAATTGTTTTATAGCAGTCAAGTTTCTTAGCCAATAAGATGAGATGGTAATAGGAGGATATTGCATATTATGATAACTGACATTTGATTACTATGATATATGGGAAAAAAGCAGAAGTAATATCTAGCCTTTAAGTATTTGATTTAATTTGATAAACTGGAACTCTGGGTTCATGTATCATGGTACCTGCTTATAGGAAATGATTGTGTTTGTTTTGTTTTCTGAAAAGAAATTACATTATATACAAATATGCATTTTTAAATTAAAAAACGATTAATGGCATAATATAAACGCTGAGTTTAAAGATTCTTTGTATAGGTAAGTTTATTTAATTTAATTGATTTTTATCTGTCTGCTAATATTCCACCATCTCTTCTATGCTACTATTACCATTACTATGAAAGTAGAGACCTTGGTAAACAAATAGAGAAAGGAGCAACAAGTCTAGAGAGACAGAATGCTGAAGCTTTGTGTGGACACTGTTGTTATCTAGTGAAGCATGCAGCCAGTGGTCCATAAAGGTCACTGGGAACAATCAGTCTCTTTTAGAAATCAATCAGTATAGACTCTGTATTTAAGAAGCAGGGTATGGTCAAAAAACAAAGAAATCATCTAGTTATTTAATATAACAATATGAAAGAACTCATCTAACCAAGCATTGTTCATGACAGCCAAAATGAAAACTGAAGTCAACCATCACCTCTAAACCAATTGTTAAAAAGGACTATTACTATCTACTAATTTTACAGTTCTTTATGTCACAACAAATTCAAGGTTGTAATTATAACATGTATTTCTAATGAAAGTCTCAGGCTCTCCCCTTCTTTTGTGTGTTCTTAAAAAGGATGACATTCTTACCAAAATCAAAACCAAATACCACCCTAATTTACTGAATGTTTAAACATAGGTCCTAGTAATAACTACCAAGTTTTTCTTATAGTCAAAGGTTTGAATCAGATGCGTAATCACGTGCATTAATTCTTTTGGTTGTATGTCATGTGGGAATGCTGAAAAATGTGCAGCTTCCTTGCAAACACACATGCTTGTTCAAAGTACAGATGCCTGTCTCATATGGCTGTCTCAGTTAATGGAAGTGACTTCAGACCTTTAGTCTCATGCTGACACATGGCCTTCGACCCCAGGCCGCCCAGGCTTTCCATTATACTTTAAAACATATGTTTCGTAAGGTTTTTTTTAACACCCCCTTTTATATCCAACTTGAATGATTCCTGATTAAATATATTCAGGGGCAATTTCAGAGAAATTTAAGTTACAGTTCCTTCTTTTGAAAAAGAAAGAAAATTTCCCTTTGAAAGAGGCCAGGTATGAAATGATATTCATTTTCTTTGCAAAATATGGTGATTTAAAAAGACATATATAGTATTAAACATAACAAATTCAAATATACATATTAGCTTAACCCTAAGCTAAGTGAAGATTTATAATATTACGACATACTACAGTTTCTTACTTTATATCCTCTTAGCATACTAAATGATATTGTTTTAGAGCATATGAATTTCCTACCTGGGCCCAGCTTCCTTCCTCAGATTCTTTCTGTGTTAGCAGCAGGGAATGATTAATAAAGCAGATGAATATAATTAATCTCAAATGAAGACAGTAAAACTATTCTAGCAGAAGCAAAATTGTTTGTTATTGAAAATGTTAATTATGACTTAAGTAGATAAATACACTGATCCTTATTAAACCCACAGTAATCAATTTAGCAGTTCAAGAGCAACCATGTAGTTTTTAGTTAATTCCAATTAAACATACACACATATGACATATGGGCTTTTCATGATATATTTGATCTGGTCATTCCAAATCTTTTTTAATTCTTAAAAGTATGTTGTTTTCCAAATGTAAATGTAGAATAGAAAGCTACAATAAAAATTCCTGATTCTATATATACAAGTATACAATACACGTAAATGTATACATACATACACACACACACACAATGAAAAAATCTAACATAAAGTAAATTAATGAAGTACAAAAAGTAACTGTTTCCCTCTAACAAAGCTTTGTGGTAATCAAACAGATTTCAGCAATGGTCAACAACAAACAAAAGCAAACAAGAGTAAAACCAAACCCAACAAACTGAACTAGAAATATAGTTAGAAAATGACATTGGCATTTTTATCCTTCATAAACTAGATAATCAATTTTTCACATACAGATACAACCAAAAGGACATTAAATTAAAAGAAGCCGCTAAGAATAAAATGTATGACATACCCAACTTGGTTACTTTAAATGAAAAATGAGTATATGTAATATTATATTTTTAAAAGCTGACAATTATAATCAAAGTCATTAAAAATTTCTTTAAGCCTGTGCTTTGAATATCAAATGAACAGAATATTTTTTGGAGGGGTGGAGTTTTAAGTTCTGTATTGGTAAAGTACAAGAAACTAAATGCTTGTATTAAAAATGAGTCTTCGGGGCGCCTGGGTGGCTCAGTCGGTTAAGCATCTGACTCTTGATTTTTGGCTCAGGTCATGATCTCAGTTGTGTGAGACTGAGGCCCACATTGGGCTCCGTGGTCAGTAAGGAGTCTGCTTGGGATTCTCTCTCCTTCTCCTCTTTCCTCTCCCTCTACCTCTCCCCTCTTTCCCTCTCTCAAATAAACAAATAAATCTTAAAAAAAAAAAAAAGAAAAAGAAAAAAGGAGTGTTCAATCTGAACTTTCCTATTACCAGTTTAATTGGGTTTGATAACATGTATTACCTGTGAATATGCACAATACTAAGTGATATCTGTTACTAAAAATTCCCAGGGTTGCAAGATGGATAAATAAGCATTGTAAAATTCTTGATTATTGCCTGCATATTACAAACTCATTATGACCATCTAGCCCTGTTTCATTAACAATGTCCAAGTGCAGTAAAATGAAACCTTAACGAAAAATATTAGTTTTCATGCATATTGCTATGGAAACATACCCATTACTCTGATCTGTCACACACAAAATAGCTTTTTCATCCCAATAGCAGCCAAATAACTTTTCTTCACGTTCAACAAAGCCGTAAGACTAACCGTTTTTGCTGGAGCAGCCAGATTTTCCATTTCTTCATGGGTCACCCAAACGTTGCCTGAAGGCTAGTGAGGAGGCCCGGGGGGGGAGCAGTGGGGTCCACAGTAGGGAAGCAGTGGTAAAGAAGAAAGGCAGCAGTACTGTAAGTTACCAGCCCCACCGCACCACGACAGTGCTCTTGCTTCTACAGCATGCACAGGAGAGACAGCATTGCTGGTTTGCTCAGAGCTCCCTTTTTCTTCTACTTAAAAAGATTAAATAGAAAGAGGCATGCTGTGAAGCTCCTGTGGGATAGATTTAAAATGATGCTCCTGTGATTATTAATCAGGAAAAAGGCCAAATCACGATTTGCATTTCAAAGGTAGGGAGCTATTGGATCCAATTTTTTTTTTTTTGTAATCATAAAGAACTGATTAAATTTGATCTGTAGGGGAATGTATTTATTTTTCTTCAGAAAACAAAAGCACAGGTACTTTGTTGTGCTATTACCGGTATTTCATTCACAAAGTTTTGATTCTTCAATGTCCTTGAAAAGAGAAAATTGGTGGTCAATACAAAGCAGAGAGCACTACCATCATCTGTCTGGAAACTAATATCAGTTTTTCCCAAATGATTTCTTCCTTTTATAATTCCCTATGTATGTTGTTTTCCTATATTCTTATAGAGGAAAAAGAAGTAAAATGCTATTTTTAATTTAAAGGGTATTTTTTTAACCTTACTAAATGCTGTCAGAAATTACAAAACCTAGGCTTCCCAATTTCTCAGCAGTGTCTTATACCATTATAGAGAAGAACATGATGTAAAAGGAAATTTTCCTTTTAGCAGGCACTATTCTTTTATAAAGTCGCATTTGTTTTCTAAATAAGATAACCCATGATATTTGCTCTATACACTGAATAATGCACAATTTCTAAACTAAAGTCCAGTTAGTAACATACAGATCAGACATATTGTTGATGGGAACGGCTACAGGGAACCACTTCCCATTAAATTCCACCATTTCACTGAGAAATCCTTATGAACATTGCAGGGTTGTCCAAGTACGTCCATCCTATAGTTACAATGGAATTTATATCCCATACATTGCTTACAACTTGTTTTGGAAGGGGTCTAGAATTGGAAGTAGCAAAATTGATGCCCCAACGTGAGCCTCCACCGTAACTCTCTCTGGCCTCTTCTACCAACACATAGCACCGTTTTAATTTTCCTTCTGTTAAAAATTATGTTATAATTTGAAAAATAACTACATATAAACTAAATTGATGAGTATAATTCAATATAAGAGAAATCTCATTTATAAGAGAATTATATATATATGAGTAAAGCGTAATATAGAATAAGAATATATATATACAGGTGAGTAACAAAGGGGAGTTATGCCCCACGTTGGGCATAGAGCTTACTTAAAAAAATCCCAGAGGACAGCCATCATATATGTAAAATTTATATGTGCAAAATTCTTTTTCCTACCGTTTTGGAATTTAGAGTATATCTGAATTTTTCCCTATAAGATAAAACTATGTGTACTTAGGAACTATTTTGAATACCAGAGTCACCTATGTTATTAAGAGCCCCTCCCCTCTACTCCCAGCTTTTGGGAACGGTGCTCAATATAACAGAGGCATATGGATGTATGAATCATTAAATCACTTGGAATATATTGCTTTTATTAACTTTGTGAAGAGTGCACTATACTAAAAAGAACTTAACATTCCTGTGTCACATACCCTTTATACCCAGAGACCACAGTGCTTCGCCTGAATGGCTGAACTGTTTGTTCAAAGGGAGCTGCTGTGATGGTTACCTGAAATTCACTTAAGCCAGTCTCGTTTTACAATGATTTTTGTAGCTTCTCTGTTAACTGTGAATCGAAATAATTAAGATCTCCCTCCTTCTGTAAGAAACTTGACCCGTATTATCTCATACTGGAATTCATACATGTATAATCCCCTTCAGAGTTTATCTTAAAGTTTATATTGGCCAGTCTATCATCATATTCTGGAATGGGCAAGATGCTTGAAGCCAGGGTTTGGTCTGTAGCTCTTTACATGCAAAATAATATATACTGAGGGCAATTTTCTTAAGTACAGCTGGCAAACTTACCTAAGTTGTATGTTAGTTGTTCTCTTTTGACCTGTAGTTTTACTTGTGAGGAACACTGTCTGTTCTAGAATCTTGTAAAGTAACTCATAAAATAGCTTCTGCACAATCCAATCATTTAGACATTCATTGAGGTTTCAACAAGTTGATTTTATAAGCAAGCCCATGCGCCATAAGTCAATTATTCAGATTTCTTTCTCCTCACCACCTGCTAAAGGTATGGAACTTTCACCTGGGTAAGTCATAAAGGGTTGCTGTAGAGCATAAGCATTCCAGTGAAGAGCATATCTTAAGGAACAGCTAGAGGGCGAGGCTTTGAGCAACCAAAGGACAGAGGATACTATGCCTGGGGTCCAAAGATAAAGAGTGTAAAAAAGTAGCTTGGAAAAGCATAAAGGACAAGGATCCCATAATTTGATTGTGGTTCTCTGAGAGCCATTAAAAATGACTTACTCATTCCTTGGCAGTCTATGCTGTAGTCCCCAATTCTGAGCTGAAGAATACCTACCTATAGTCATTTTCGTGCGTGTGTGTGTGTGTGTGTGTGTGTGTGTATGTGTGTGGTTAAGAGTCTGAATCTAATAGGTGATTTCTAAAATTTCAACTATCTGGAAATTTACCAAATTATAATAAAGACACTTGAGTTCTAGCAATGCCACTTTTCAGTTACTACCCTAGGACATTTCCTAAACCTCTCTAAATTTTAGATTCTATATCTGTTAAGTGGGTTAGGAATGTACTTCATACTAGAAAAAAATATTGAAAATTTTAAACTATAATATAATCAATTTTGATACAGTTCCGAGACTAAGATAAAGCAGGTAAGGTGTCAAGGGGACTAAACTTAAGGAAGCACTCACTTTCATGGCTGTGCAAATGCAAGGTCAGCACCTGACAGAGCATGCCTCCCTCAGTATTGTACTTGACCTGCCTCAATTGCCTCACCTTAGCCCAATCAGAGTAGAATATATAGATAGTATTATCAAATGAGAACTAGGAGGAAGATTCCTAACGGATGTTGAGGATTAAAGCACTTACCTAATTAAGTCATTCAGGAGAGAGTTACAACATAAAAATAAATATTAAAATTAGTTTAAGGGATAACTCATGAAAATTAATTATGGGAAAATAATCACTTCTCTTGCTGGCAGAAATAGCAAATAAGTAAAGCAGCAAGACCTCAGAATAATCCTAAACCTTATCTACCTGGAAGTAACTTCTGTTACTTCCTAGGTCATTTTGCAGTATTATTCTACTTGATAATTGAGTTACAAAGTAAATAAACTTGACATTTACTTTTCACATTTGAAATGGCCCAGAACCACATTTCTCCCCATCTGATTTTATGTTTTTCAATATAAGAAGAGAATTATTATATGAAGACTAGCATTTGCACAATTGCACCTCACTTTATTATGAGGTTACTAATAATGGAAAGGGGAACCAAAGCGGACTGGAAGAGTGCTGTAAAAGAGAAGAAAACAGGTAGATGCAGGAAGCAGGAGGGTGTACTTAATAGTAGCATAAACTCTGAGGCAAACAACAAGGTGGTGTGACCTTAGACAAGTCACTTAACCTCTCTGTACAGCAGTTTTTCCCATCTATACAACAGATATAAAAAAAAGTACCTATCTCATAGTGTTGTTGTTGTGGGGCTTAAATAAGTTATAACATGTAAAACACTTCAAACAGTACCTGACACTTAGGCATCCACTGATGTTGGATATTATCACAATTTCATTAGAAATTTACAACAATTTCTTTAGAAATTTTGTTAAGCAATTTCCACTCCAGTAAATCTTTTGTTTCATAAATGCTCTTTGTTTCCCATGTATATTGTGCTGACTGATGCCTATTTTATGCTTCACATTTCTGCTCGAATTTGCTGAATCCTGCGTTCCCAAACCCATTTTTTATACTGCACTATTTTTTAATTAGGCAATTTAAATAAATGTTACATAAAATGAAAATAAGTTTCACTCACATAAGAACACTGAGTTGAATTACTTGGAAAGACAGATCTAGGCAAATCTTATAACATGTTATCAATGAGATACAACTTCATCAAAGTCTGGGGAAAAGACTGTAAATGTCCAGGAGGATTCTGCACTCAAATAGCTTTTTGAGTATCCTGAAGTTATCACTTTAAAAAGAAACTCAAACTAGAAAAATTGAAGATGTTTTATGTATGAAGTTATAAAAGAAAGATAATGTAGAACTCCAGGCATTGGAATTGTACTCAAAGAAAAGTCCTAAGTGTTTTATTTAAAATTTACAAGTGCCTGAACATTTACATATTTTTATTGAAGATAAAATATTTAAAGCATGTACTTATTCTTTATGACATTCCCTCTTTAACCAAATATTGCAATGAACTGATATCTCCATCCTTATTCTATTAGGTAAGAGACTTTCCACAGTAACAGCAGCTCAGGAAGAAGAAACAGAAAGCTGGAAAATTAGGGCTGACCCAAGAAAATAATAAATGTAAATATTAGATTTTCCTTTTGGTGGTCTGGCCCATTTCATGTAGACAGGAAAGGAGGCAGAATCAGACAGAAGTTCTGTTAAGTTTAAAAAAAAAAAAGCCTAAGTAAACAACCTTGTCTTTTTCTCTTGAAAATTTGAGAAAATAAGGAAGATACACCTGACTGAGGAACACGAACCCAAACCTGAACACACAGAAACTTTTGTATGGTCTGAACTAATTACAGTGTTCTGGGAGACACGATAACATCCCTGTGTTGGGCTCAGTGCTCCACATGGAGCTGTTTAAGATTCTCTCTCTCCCTCTCCTTCCGCCCCCAACCCCCTCTAAAAATAAAAATTAAATAAATAAATAAAATAAAATGTGAATCCTAATATATAACTTTAGGTGATGACTTTAAGATGTTTTAGTCTTCACTTTATATGGTGGATTCATTACTAGAAATTTATAAGCAAAGCAAATCATATTTAAAATGTA